TGGGTTCTCAAGCTTGAAACTTGATCCACACAAGTAAACAGGAGACGGGCATATTTTGTAATTCTGATCAACTTAACTTCAAATAAAAATGTTCACACAAAAAATAAAAAATGAAAAAAAAGAAGAAGAAATAAACAACTCTCTAATACTTCATGTCAAACTGTTTTTTTTTTTTAAGGCAAAAAAACTTTTATTTTGAGTACAAGGGGTACTCTACCCATTTACATAACCCATTTACATAAGATTTAAAGTGCCTAAGTACCTATGCACTTAAGCACTCACATTATATAGATGGGGATTGAGGAGCCAATATGAGAAACTGTACCTCAAAACCTTCCCTCTGTTTGTCAGCCAGTAAAAGGACCTTACTTGGACTAAATCAAACAACTTGTTTTTGTCCACAATTTTATTGTTGAACAAGACCTCATTACGAGTAAGCCATATAGTCCATACCGAGGCAAACCACACCTATGTTCAACAATTTTATTGTTGAACAAGACTTCATGTCAAACTGTTAAACTAGACATGATTCCAATATTTTCTTTTTTTTTTATAAAAAAATTAATTAACATTTCTTTTTTGTTTCATCAAAAATTAGTGGTTTAGCATTATTTAAGGATTTAAACCTTTAATTTTAAATTAATATTGTTAATTAATTAATAACAGTTCAACTAAATTTTTATTAATTTAAATAATTGGTTTTTTGTGCATGTAAAAATGAGCTATAAAATGGCACCTGGCGGCCAATAGGTAAAAAATGCATAACCTTTGCTTAGGTTGGATTGCCGTTTCCCCAGCCCCTAAATTGTATTTATTCAAAAAAACAACAAATAAAATGCTATATAATGGAGACTAGTTTGTCTTTTAAATATGTGCTATATCCCTCAATAAGCATCAATTACATTGGTTCACACCCACATTACTTAATGGTTGATGTGACATACAAAAATGAAAGAAGAATTTACAGATGAAAAAGGAAAAATTTAAGAATGAAGTGAAAAAAGAAGTTTGAAGTTTCTCAGCAATTTAAGAGCTGTTATTAAGATCATTTGATTTTGAGCCCTTTACAATGGGAAAGGCAGCTGCAGGGATATGAAACACATGGCCAGCAACGTTCACGCCATTTAGATGGCAATTGCCCGAACCCCCTCCGGGGATGTAAGTGCAAGGGTTGGGACCAGATGGTGTCACCGGACCCCGTTGCAGAGATGGAAACACAAGCTCATCTTTCATCCCCCACAATTCCCCATCCAATGGCCTTGGTGTTGCAAGTTGAATTGAAGCAAAGAAAATGCAGAAAAGAAGTGTAATTTTGCAGAGGCTGTTCTTCTCATACAAAGCCATGCTTGATGCCTTGCTTTTGTATGCCTTTGCAATTCAAAGAAAATGCAGTTTCAAGAGTATGGGATATATGCAAGGAGTAGAGCTGTGATTTATTATATAGTACCCTTTGTTCTCTGTTTATTCTACAGATGGCAGCCCTGTTCTGACTTCTTGCTGCCCATAGGGTTCTACTGAGACATGTGAATTTGACCGAGCTCTGGGGTTTGAAGGTTGAACTTGAAGAGTTTGCAGAATGGATCAACAATATGTAGGGAACATGGCTGGTTTACGTTTATATTGGTGCGCAGAATTCTGTTTTGATCATCTACAGTCAACAAAAACATATATAAAATTCTGAAAGTCATACACCAACTTGACGTCCATGAAGGAAGAAACTTCAACTTTACCTGTAACACACTTGGGATCTGATTTCAAGGTTCAAAATCAAACAAAGATCAATATGGCCAAAATAATTAAGAACCACAAAAGAAAAGGCATTTCCTCGGTTTGGTTGAAAACTAGTGTTTGACTACAATATTCAAGTCAGAAATTTGGTTTCCTCAAATAAAATAAAATGTGGTTTTATGAATCATGTTGAAAAATCAAGTTTTATGTTAATATTTAAAAAATAATTTTTTAAATATAATAAAAAGATATAGGGATGTATCCTTAAAATTATATAAAAAAAGATTAGTTTTAGAATACATAAAAACTCATATAAAGATAATTATATATAAAAAAAATCATAATAAAATAATTCTCATAACTGTAAATACCAAAAAAATTGAATTGAAGATTGAAAATTTCGAGTCATACAGCTCGGTTCCTGTGTATAATATTTCTCCTATATATTTACACATACATTTGCCCTACAAATTTCAAGCAAGATTCATAATCTCAATCTTGATTACATATAAATTGTTCCTTCTGTAATCTCAATCTGTAATCTCAATCTTGATTGCATATAAGCTGTCCTTCTTTAAAAATGACGCATTTCCAAAAGCTTCCAGCCCTCACTGCAGTGCTTTTCCTCTTATTAGCCATGCAGAGCATGCTACCTCAGGAAACTGCTGCTTGCAGAGTCCTAAACAACGATGATCAAGCACAATGGGGGCTCAAGAATGATATTCTCCTGGCTTTGCAGTCTCTGCAAAAGGGACCAGTCCGCGGTCCCGGAGGAAACGGGTGCACCTACATTCCTGGCAGTGGTGGCGCTCCTTGCACCGAGCAAAGGAACTTTGCAGGGTCTGCTGCTGTTGTGGCTCCTTCCCATGCACGGCCTGGGCTAATGGTTCCAGGTGGTGCATCTGCTAAGTACTAGGCAAAGGATTTGTGCCCACTAGGATTAACATAAGTTGCACAACACAATACACAATAAACAATCTTCTTTAAAATGTTTAGTTCATTACTTGATTGTGGAAATAAAGTGATATTAGTGCCCAACTCAATTGTAGAGATATAAAGCGATATTAGTGCCCAGTTAAAAAACGCAAGCCACTTTGTAGTGAAATAATGTGAAATTAGTTATCTGTTATTCTTTTTCTTCATCCACGTTATAAAATGTATTTAATTTATACAATATACACGACAAATTAAAATAAAACTCATACAAAGTAAGACATAAACCCACAACAAAGAGATTGTGGGCATTAGTCTTTGCCAATATAGGCCAAAGGAAATTTTAAACGTATGCTACTTGAATCTTTCTATAGTACATAGCATAATCTATTTGTTATTTTTTTTTATTAATGCAAATTTTAATTACAATCTATTAGATAGATAATATATGTCAATTAATAAGCATATAGCAACACATCCCAAAAAGATAAAATCAAATTATAACAAATTAGCATAAAGTTGGATAATAATGTACCCAAAAAATGGACTCAAACTTGAGATTTAAAAAGTACCAAAGTCTCCACCTTAATTAGTAAATTAAACCAAAACTTCATGGTATTTTCCTCTTTTATCTTATTTTAATTTATTTCTATTTTTATTTTTTTGTTGGAGTGGGGTGGGTTCTCTTGTCACAATTGATGGAGGAAGCATTTATATGAGGATGGTAAGATAATTTTTAATTGATGTTCAATATTTCAAGCTTAAAACTTGGTCTACATAAGTAAACAGGAGATGGACGTACTTTGCAATTCTAACCAAACTTAACTTCAAATAAAAATGTCCAGACAAAAAATTAAAAATGGAAAAAAAAAATTGAAATAAACATCTCTCTGGTACTTTATGTCAAACTGTTGAATTAAACATAATTCCAGCATTTTCTTCTTTTTTACCCAAAAATGGAAAATTTATAAACACTTCTTTTTTGTTTTATTAAAAGCTAACTACTTAGCATTTTATAAGAGTTTAACCCTTTAATCTAAACTTTAAATTAATATTTTTAATTAATCAATAATAACTCTAGCATGCCTTTCCAATAATAATAATAATAATAACAATAATTCAGCTAAACTTTTATTAATTTAAATAATTGGTTTTTTGTGCATATAAAAATGAGCTATTCAATGGCACATGGCCTATTAGGCCAATTGTTAAAAAATGCATAACCTTTGCTTAGGTTGGACTCTCACTTCGCCACCCCCTAAATTGTACTTAATTCAAAAAGAAATTTTTAAAATGCTCTATAATGGACACTAGATTTTCTTTTAAACATGTGCTTTATCCTTCAATAAGCATCAAGTACATTGGTTCACAGCCACACATTACTTAATGGTTGTGACATACAGTAAACAGAATAAATGCAAAAAGAATTTACACATGAAAAAGGAAAAATTAAAGAATGAAATGTAAAATGAAGTTTGAAGTTCCTCGGCAATTTAGGAGCTGTTATCGTGGTCATTTGATTTTGATCCCTTTACAATGGGAAAGGCAGCTGCAGGGGTATGAACAACATGGCCAACAACGTTAATGCTATTTAGCTGGCAATTGCCCGAACTCCCTCCGGGGATATAAGTGCAAGGGTTGGGACCAGATGGTGTTTCCGGACCCCGTTGCAGGGATGGAAACACAAGCTCATCTTTCATCCCCCACCAATCCCCACCCAATGGCCTCGGTGTTGCAAGTTGAATTGAAGATAAGAAAAAGCAGAAAAGAAGTATAATTTTGCAGAGGTCGTTCTTCTCATACATAGCCATGCTTGATGCTTTGTTTTTGTATGCCTTTGCAATTAAAAGAAAATACAGTTTCAAGAATATGGGATATATCCAAGGAGGAGAGCTCTGGTTTATTACATATTTAGTACCCTGTATTCTTTGTTTATTCTACATATGGCCGTGTTTTGACTTCTTTCTGCCTATAGTGTTTTACTGAGATTTCTGAATTTGACTGAGCTCTGGGTTTTGACGGTTGAACTTGAAGAGTTTGCAGAACTGTTCATCAATATGTAGGGAACATGGCTGGTTTACGTTTATATTGGTGCCCAGAATTCTGTTTTGATCTTCTACTGTCAACAAAAACATATATAAAATTGTGAAGGTCATACACGAAACTTGACGTCCAAGAAGGAGGAAACTTCAAATTTACCTGTAACACACTTGGGATCTGATTTCAAGGTTCAAAATCAAACAAAGATCAATATGGGCAAAATAATTAAGAACCACAAAAATTATTGCTTATATGTATGGAAAAGCATTTTCTCGGTTGGTTCTTGGTTGAAGACCAGTGTTTGACTACAATGTTCAAGTCAGAAATTTGGTTTTCTCGAATAAAATAAAGTGTGGTTTTATGAATCATGTTGAAAAATCAAGTTTTGTGTTAATATTTAAAAAAAAATCAATTTTTTAAATACAATCAAAAATATATAAGAGTGTGTATTTAAAATTATACGAGAAAAAATTAATTTTAAAATATATAAAAATTTGTATGAAAATAATTGTAAATATCGAAAAAGAAATAATAATAACTCTCATAACTCTAAATACCAAAAAACTGAATTGAAGATTGAAAAATTCAAGCCATACAGCTCGGTTGGCCCAAAAAAAGGGTCATGCAGCTCGGTTCCTGTGTATAATATTTCTCCTATATATATGTAAACACATCTGCCCTACAAATCTCAAGCAAGATTCATAATCTCACTCTTGATTACATATATTGTTCCTTCAGTAATCTCAATCTTGTTTGCAAATAAGTTGTTCTTCTGTAAAAATGACGCATTTCCAAAAGCTTCCAGCCCTCACTGCAGTGTTTTTCCTCTTATTAGCCATGCAGCTCATGCTAACCCAGGAAACTGCTGCTTGCAGAGTCCTAAACAACGATGATCAAGCTCCATGGGGGCTCAAGAATGGTATTCTCCTCCCTTTGCAATCTCTGCAAAGGGGACCAGTCCACGGTCCCGGACAAAACGGGTGCACCTACATCCCTGGCAGTGGTGGCGCTCCTTGCACCGGGCAAAGGAACTTTGCAGGGTCTGCTTCTGTTGTGGCTCCTTCCCATGCACGGCCTGGACTAATGGTTCCAGGTGGTGCGGCTGCTAAATACTAGGCATAGCGTTTGGGCAGCCTGGGATTAACATAAGTTACGCAACACAATATACAATACACAATCTTGTTTAAAATGCTTAGTTCATTAATTGATTGTATAAATAAAGGGAAATTAGTGCCCAACTCAATTGTAGAGAAATAATGGGATATCAGTGCCCAATTAAATGCTAATCACTTTGTAGTGAAATAATGTGAAATTGGTTCTATGTTCTTTTTTTCATCCACATTATAGAATATATTTAATTTATGCCATGTATAAATTAATACTTCAAAGTGTAAGAAGAAGTATGAAGGCTAAATTGTTTATTCATGAATATATCAAGAGTATATATACAATTGGAGCCTAAGTGTTGCCCTATCACATTAGGCAAGTGAATCACAATCTTGGATATTATACAGAGAATGAATGTGAACATTAACAGAATGTAAACATGCTATGATACAGATTTGGTTTCCTTAACACGTCGCTGCAAGATGGAGGTGACATCAGCAACTCCAATCTTGTCTAGCAAACAAATAAACCTGGTAGAATGAAAGGGCTTAGTGAACCAATCGGCAAGTTGGTCGATGGAAGCAATATGTGAGACGCGCAGAACCTTTTTGTCAACCAAGTCACACACAAAATGAAGATCAACTGTAATGTGCTTCATCCGAGAATGCAAAACTGGATTACCACTTAAATAAGTGGCACTCACATTGTCACAATAAAGAGCAGGAGGATCTGTAATGGGAATGCTGAGTTCATCCAATAGATGAGAAACCCAAAAAAGTTCAAATGAAGACGCAGCTAAGGCCCTATACTCTACTTCGGTGGAGCTACGAGCAACAGCATGTTGTTTGGCTACTCTCCAAGAAAGGGGATTCCCACCAAGAAAAACAATGTATCCAGTTGTGGAAAGACAAGTGTCACAGTCCCTTGCCCAGTCTGCATCAGAAAAGGCGTGAAGTGAAAGGGACTCTTGTGGCCGAAGAAAGATCCCATGAGAGGCAATGCCACGAAGTTAGCGTAAAACTCGCTTAAGAGCCTGCCAGTGAACATCAGTGGGTTTGTGCATGAACTGTGAGACGACCAACAGCAAAGGAAATGTTAGGCTGTGTGAGAGCAAGTTACTGAAGAGAATCGACAAGCTTTCTGTATTCTGAACAATTTGTAAGAGTAATACTGGTGTTGAGAAGCAACGTTGAAGTGGAAGCTAGCGGAGTAGCCATCAGTTTGGCCTCAATCATACCCGATTTCTGTAATAACTCCTGGATATAGTGATGTTGTGAAAAAAAGAGACTGCCATTAATAGACATAACCTTAATGCCAAGAAAATAACTGAGGTCGCTAGGCTCTTTAAAGGAGAAGTGATGTCCCATAGTTTGGATTAGAGAGGTAATGAAGGAAAGGTTGCTACCGGTAATGATGATATCATCCACGTAAACTGGAAAAAAGATCACAACAGACCTCGTGTTATATATAAACAAGGAAGAATCAGATTTGGAGTTAAAGAACCCCTGAGAAATAAGAAAGTCCTTGAGTGCTCGAAACCAAGCTCGAGGGGCTTGTTTTAAGCCATAAATCGATTTGCGAAGTCAACAAACATGTGAGGGATGATTTTGATCAACAAAGTCGGCAGGTTGTTGCATAAATAACTCTTCATCAAGTTCACCATGTAAAAAGGCATTATTCACATCCAATCGCTAAATAGGTCGCCGACGACTAACTGCAAGAGAGAGAACAGTCCAGATCGTCATTGGTTTAATAACAGGACTAAATGTATTGAAATAATTCGAACCTGCCCTTTGATGAAACCCCTTGGCAACTAAATGTGCTTTGTAGCGTTCAATTGAGCCATATTTACCCCTTTTTATCCGAAATATCCACTTGTAGCCAAGAACATGTTGATTCGGGTGATAGGGTATCGGCTCCCATGTCCCTTGACGAATCAAGGCATTGAACTCCTCAGGCATGGCCTGTCTCCAATGGAAATCTTTAAGTGCTTGAGACACACATGTGGGTTCAAGTGAAGGGAGTGTGGAGGCCATGGTTGCATGATGTAAGGACTTCGGTTTAAAGATGTTGTTTTGAGAACAGGTGACCATGGGATGAGTGCACCAAGGTGGGGAAGGCGATGGTGGTGGCAGGTCATGAGGAGTGGCTTGGTTGAAGGATAAAGGAGTAGAGGAGTCCAATTCAGCTGGGGTTGACATGACGATAGAGGTTGAGGTTGGATAGGGGCTTTGAGCAAGAGAACGAGGTGCGGAGGTAGGAGCCGACGGAGAGGCAGATGAGTGAGGAATGGCTGGTTTGGTGGACAAATGGACTACATCATGATGGGGAACCGTAGCACAAGGAGGCAACATTGAGCGATCAACAACCGGGCGATGGCAAACGATGTCAATGGAACTGGCTATACAATGGAGTCATAAGGAAAAAAGGAATTAGAAAAACTATTTGTGGACAAATAGAACTTGAGAGAGAGTGTTGTAGGGTAGGAGTATTATATGGAAATTGGTTTTTATTTAACATGCCGTGAATAAAACATCTTTGAAGAGTGAATGTCAAAACATTTGTAACTCAAATTATCTGGTGAATAGCCCAAAAAAATACAAGGACGAGAGCGATATTGTAGTTTATTATTATTATAAGCACGAAGCCATGGAAAACAAGAGCAACCAAAAATGCACAACTTTAAGTAATTTGGTTTGACTTGAAATAATTTTTCTAAGAGAGATATAGAGGACAAGGTCACTGTTGGCAACTTATTAATTAGGTAGACAGCAGTTTGGAATGCAAAAGACCAAAACTTGGATGGCAAGGATGCAATGTGGAGTAAAGTAAGGTCTGTTTCGACAATATGTCGATTACGACGCTCACTTATACCATTAAGATCAGAAGTATAAGGTGGTGTGATAATATGGGAAATACCATTTTTAGAAAAAAAAATCACGAAATGCAATGTACTCACTCACCCCCGCCATCGAAATGAAAAGTTTTAATTGAAAGGCCAAATTGATTGTCAATGAGAGATTTAAATTTTGGAAAAATTATAGAAACATCAAATTTGTGTTTTATGGGAAAAAGCCAATTGTATCGACTAAAATGGTCGATAAACAATACAAAATTATTAAAGCCATCAATTGAGACGGTTGGGGCCGGACCCTAAACATCCAAATAGATGTGTTCTAGTGGAGGATGACTTGTGATAGATGAATGAGAAAAGGGCAACTTATGACTCTTAGAGCATGCACAAGATTCACATAAAGAAAAGTCCATTTTATTAGAAATAGGTAATTTAAAAACATGAGTTATAGATTTTATGTTCTTCGTATTAGGATGACCTAAGTGTGTATGCCAGTTCGCCAAAGAGACATGTTCACCAACTAGAGCCACAGGCTTAGTTTTGCTTGGGACTTGATATACTCCACGTATGTTTGAACAGCATAACATTGTCACCCCTATGCTTTGATCCTTCACCAAGAAGTACTCAAGGTGAAATTCAACAACAACATTAGTATGTTTACATAATTGAGAGACAGAGATTAAGTTCTCAGAGGCAGAAGGAACACACAAAATATTATGTAAAGGAAAAGAGGTTAAAGAGGTAAGTAATGTGGTATCACCCACATGTGTGATTTTCAAACATGTTCCATCCCCAACTTGAAGTTCATCAGGGCCAAGATATTCAAAGTGCAAGGTGAGATTGGCAAAGTCTGTGGTCACATGGTGAGTTGCACCAGAGTTGAGTAGCCAATCCTCAAAAGCAATGTTGGGAGAGGAAGCAAAATTGGCATGCAGAGTGTGTTGTTGAACTCGGTAAAACGAACAATTGTGGGCAAAATGGCCTAAATTGTTGCACAATCGACAAGCTTGAGCAGTGGGCCGACTATTGGGCTTGCCAAAGGATCCACGCTACCTATTCCCAGAGAAGGTTCTGTTGGAGGAAAGGGCTCCTCGATAGTTTCAATGTGGTGGAGTGAAGAATCGACCATTGTGAGGTGTGGGCAACAATCCAGCAAAAGTCAAGGAGGAGGAAAAGGGCGTTGCGGCTGCTCTAGGAGGAAGGGGAGCAGCAACAAAGTGAGCAGTGAAAGGAGTAGATTCTAGTTTAGTATCTTCCCATCAGAGACTTTCTTCATGAGCCACCAACCGATCATAGAGATCATCAAAGGACAGAGAGGTGTCACGCGTTCGAAAAGATGCTGCAATCTCTCGAAATTCTAGACCTAGGCCATTCAAAATATATACTGTTAGATCATCATCAAAAAGAGGTCGATCAATTGGACCTAATTCATCTGCCATCACTTTTAGAGTGTGGAGATATTCAGAGACAGATCTCCCATCATAGCGCATGTTTTGAAGTCGCTCCTTCAATGTGATCACTCGAGCATGTGATCGGTTAGCATAGAGGTTGGCTAGCGTTTCCCAGGCATGTTGAGCAGTAGATGCTGCAACAATGTAGGGTGTGATGTTCTTTGAAACTAAAGTAATAAGTGCATGGCGTAAGAGTTGATCTTTCCAAGCCCAAAGAGCATAGGTGGGTTTCGTAGCCATAGGACACGGATTTGTTCCATCTAGAAATCCAATTAAATCATAACCCGCAACAAGACATGTGAATTGTGTTTTCTAGGAAGGATAATTGGTAGGGGTTAGCTTAAGAGGAAATGCAGCGGAGTTGAAGGATATGGGTCCTTGAGTAGCATGGTTGAGGTCGATGGCTGCAGAGTTCGGGTTGCTGGTATTAGAATTATGGGTTATAGAGTTCGCACCAGAAAAAGAGGTGCTGTCACAGGTTCCAGAGGTTTTGGCCATGGGTAAGATAGAGAAGACTCGTTAGAGTATAATGCTCTGATACCACTAATACTTCAAAGTGTAAGAAGAAGTATGAAGGCTAACTTGTTTATTCACGAATATATCAAGAGTATATATACAGTTGGAGCCTAAGTATTGCCCTATCACGTTAGGCAAGTGAATCACAATCTTGGATATTATACAGAGAATGAATCTAAACATTAACAAAATGTAAATATGCTATGATACAGATTTGGTTTCCTTAACATAAATAATACAATAAATTAAAGTAAAATTTGCACAAAGCAAGACATAATTAAACCCACAACAAAGAGATTGTGGGGGCATTAGTCTTTGCCAACAGGCCAAAGGAAATTTTAAATGTATGCTACTAATTGTATCTTTCTATAGAACATTGCATAATCTATATATTTTTTTATTAGTGCAAATTTTAATTACAATCTACTAGGTAGATAATGTATGTCAATTAATTAGCATATAACAACACATCACAAAAAAATTAAACTAAATTATAACAAATTAACATAAAGTTAGATAATAACATACCCAAAAAAAAGGACTCAAACTTGAAATTTAAAAAGTACCAAAGTCTCCACCTTTTTTTTTGAACAAAGTGTCATGGAGCGGGCTTCGAGCCTGCCCAAAGAGGAGAGGGGATGCACCTCAAGGTAGTCTAAGATCACTTGGCCCGAAGGGCCAGGTGCACCAAAGTCTCCACCTTAATTTGTAAATTATACCAAAACTTCATGGTATTTTCCGTTTTTGTTAATTTGTTTGTTTGGAGTGGGGTGGGTTCTCTAGTCACAATTCATTTATATGAAGATGGTTAGATAATTTTTAATTGATGTTCAATATTTCAAGCTTAAAACTTGGTCTACATAAGTAAACAAGAGATGGACGTATTTTGCAATTTTGACCAAACTTAACATAAAAATGTCCAGACAAAAAACTAAAAATGAAAAAAAAAAAAAGAAAAAGAAATAAAATACTCTCTAGTACTTTATGTCCAACTATTAAACTAAACATGATTCTAGCATTTTCTTCATTTTTTACCAAAAAAAGAAAATTTATAAACACTTCCTTTTTGTTTCATCAAAAACTAACTTCTTAGCATATTTTAAGAGTTTAAACCTTAAATTTAAACTTTAAGTTAATATTTTTTAATTAATCAATAATACCTCAGCAAAACTTTTATTAATTTAAATAATTGGTTTTTTGTGCATGTAAAATTGAGCTATATAATAGCACTGGCCTATTGAGCCAATTGGTAATAAATGCATAACCTTTGCTTAGGTTTTTCTTTTTTTTTTTTTTTTTTTTTTTGAACGGTAGGAATTGTGGGATAAAAAAAATAGTTACAACAATATTACAGTTACAACTTTAACTTTTGATCAAGAAGCCAAAGTCATTGATGCACTCCCAATGCCGCAAGTACATAACCTTGGCTTAGGTTCGATCGTCATTCCCCTACCCGCTAAATTGTACTTAATTCAAAATAAATAAATAAATAAAATGCCATATAATGGACACTAGATTTTCTTTTAAACATGTGCTTTATCCTTCAATAAGCATCAAGTACATTGGTTCACAGCCACACATTACTTAATATATGGTTGTGACATACAGAATACAGAATAAATGAAAAAACAATTTACACATGAAGAAGGAAAAATTATAGAATGAAATGAAAAATGAAGTTCGAAGTTTCTCAGCAATTTAAGAGCTGTTATTAAGATCATTTGATTTTGAGCCCTTTACAATGGGAAAGGCAGTTGGAGGAATATGAACAACATGGCCAACAACGTTCATGCCATTTGGCTGGCAATTGCCCGAACCCCTTCCGGGAATGCCACTTGGTTGGGACGAGATGGTGTCATCGGACCCTGCTGCAGAGATGGAAACATAAGCTCATCTCTCATCCCCACCACTCCCCACCCAATGGCCTCGGTGTTGCAAGTTGAATTGAAGATTAGAAAATGCAGAAGATAAGTATAATTTTGCAGAGGCTGTTCTCCTCATACAAAGCCATGCTTGACGCTCTGTTTTTTGTATGACTTTGCAATTCAAAGAAACTACAGTTTCAAGAATATGGGATATATGCAACGAGGAGAGCTGTGATTTATTGTATAGTACCCTGTGTTCTTTGTTTACTCTACGTATGGTCGTGTTTTGACTTTTTCCTGCCAAATAGGGTTCTACTGAGATTTCTGAATTTGACTGAGCTCTGGGGTTTGAAGGTTGAACTTGAACAGTCTGCAGAACGAATCAACAATATATTCGGAACATGGCTGGTTTACGTTTATATTGGCGCCCAGAATTCTGTTTTGATCACCTATTGTCAACAAAAACATATAAAAAATTCTAAGGTCATACTCCAAACTTGACGTCCAAGAAGGAGGAAACTTCAAATTTACCTGTAACACACCTGGGATCTGATTTCAAGGTTCAAAATCAAACAAAGATCAATATGGGCAAAATAAGAACCACAAAAGGACATGTTTATATGTATGAAAAAGCACTTTCTCGGTTCTTGGTTGAGAACAAGTGTTTAACTATCATGTTCAAGTCAAAAATTTGGTTTCCCTCAAATTTAAAAAAAAAAAAAAATTCAGAAAAGTTCATTCAGCCTCCAAATATGCAAAAACAAGCTAAAAGGAATCAAAACATCATCTACATATCTTGGAACAGTAAGACATACTGAAACAACTTATGGAATTTCTAATTTCAACTGTCTGCATATGGGGTACATGCTTTTTTAGCCCACAGAGAAACTCAGAAAAGAAATGAAGAAAAGTTAAAACTTTGGAATGCTCTTCTTGTGTTAACAATTTAAGAAGTTTTGCACTCAGAAATTCAACAAAGATCACAATAGGAGTCCCTACTATTCTCCAGCTATTCAACAAAACAAATTTAATTGAAAGCATTAAATTACATATCATTAGACAGAAAGTTGCTAATCAGTCAGGCAGCACATGAGAGTCCCACCTTTTCACAAGAAGATCCATGGCAAGCATTAAGATGTACCTTATCAGCACAGCTTCACAGCCAAGGTCACTTCAAAAGAGTGGCCTCCAGTTTCTCTTTCAGCTGATCAGCAGCACCAGCTTGAGTTCGGATTGTGAAAGTGTGAACAACATTGCTATCGTCAGTCACAGACACATCAGAGTCCTGTGCTGTAATTTGGTTTTCCCTGAGAGCTTGTATGACTCGAGAGACAGGGTGGGAATCTAATGGGGAGCTAACCCTTACCAGAGCATCTTCATGTCTTGGATGGAATTCTATATCAGGTATTGACAACTGTTTTTGCTTATTGTTTACCATATCCTTTTCAGCTTCCAATACCCTAATCCTCATTTGCAGGTCATTGATATAGGTGATGGCATCACCGAGCAAAGAGGCTTTGTCCATTTTAGAGATATTTGGGACAACCGCCCGTAATGCATAAAATCTCTGGTTAAGCTTTTCTCGTCTCTGCCGCTCTGCTTCAACATGATTCAATGGTTCTTCCCTCCCATTGGCTGGCTTTCTTCCTCTCTTCCTTGGTTTCCGCTCATCAGGTAGGGATGATGAGTCATCCTTAGCCCCAATAATGATCTGGTTGAGGTGTGGGAACAATTTTGCATCACCATTGTCACTTCGATTCCCATTAGAAGAATTTCCATAAATTTGATTGGAACCTACTGCTTGGACATCATAAGATTCCAATGAGAACTCTGAATCATCTTCCACCTTTGGGGAAAAATTAATGCTGATTGATCTTGATTTTGAACTACCCAAACTTAGTTCCCTTCCAAAAATCTTGGGAAATGGCTTTGCTTGTGCAGAACTAGATCCAACAAATGTAGTTCTGACCATCTCCACAATGTTCTGGTCTTCGGGAACCAACTTGATGGAGCCAAGTTCCACCACCCCAGACTTAAAAGGTACAAACAACACTGTTTGCAATCCAGCTGATTTTCCTAACAACCATCTAGCATGATAATGTTGCGAACAACTATTCACATCTGAGGCCCAAATTGACCTACATGACTTGTAACACTCCCCTGGACCATATTTTGCATCACAATGAAATGTGAAGTACATTGAAGAAAGGTAAAACATCTCCATGTCTGTTACACCATCCAACTTTGCAGCAAAATTATCCTCCTCTGACCCACCAAAGCATGCATGCAACTTCTGGAGCACACACTTCTTTAACTCCCCTTTCTTCTGATCTCCCTTTGATTTTCCATCCCCTTTAGAACTCCCATCATCACCCCTATTGTCCCGGCAGTGCCCATCACCCCAGAGCAATACAGATCCACCAGATTTCAACATTGAAAACTGCCAGAAAATCGCATAGTTCCAATTGGACCCTTCCACAATCTGGCAGAGGCACTGCTGCACACCCAAATCGCTGGGAGGAGTTGAAACCAACTCTGACAAGATATTCTTAGAAGCCAAAGATATCAAGAACTGACATGCTTCAGCACCCAATACTGATTCAACCATAGCCTTGTCTTCCTCTTTCACCCAAAACTTTTCACCCATATTTTCCTTCACTCCCTTTCAGTTTTCACGACTCAGATACAACAGCTCCAAATTTTCGAACTAAACGTAAAAAACCCTAGAATTTTAAATTTAAATAAAAAAAAAACCCCCGAATTCTTCAATAACAAATCAAAAACTCAAGAAATTGACTACTACCCACTTCAATTCACCCCATACCCACATCTTAAAACACAACAAAATCTAAAATTTCAGGGTATCAAATTAGCAAGCTCGCATCCGAGCTACAAAGAGATTGAACAAAAACCCAAACCAGTAGAAGAGAAGAGAGAGCTTACATTAAGTCAACAAATATTGGGTCCACAATTGAGCTGAAGCTCCACGAGAGTCCAATTTCACCTCGGCAGAACAGAGCTTCTTCAGATCTCTAGGAGTTAGGGGTCAGTTTTGATCCTTTCCCTTTGGCCACCGGCTTTTGGTACAATTTCCAAATGGTACGACGTCAATCACTATTCAGTGGTTACGTCCGACTTTGATGTACCATCACGTGAATCACCTGTTAGCTTAGTAAAAGCACCCATGCCAAGGGATGGAAAAGCTTTTATTTTTTACCTTTGTGCGAAGGAAAGCTATTGATAAGTATCCTTTCTTTGTCTTTTTTTTTTTGGTTTTAGAAAATTAAAATGTATTTTTTAATACAAATTGTACTTTTTTTTGGTTTTTTATATTAAAAGTATTTAAATGTTTTTAATAAAATAA